GGCTCTGCTTAGCTGTGTACCAACTTGCTCAGGGCTTGCACAGGCTACAGCTAAGATGTTGGCCAGGGCTATGGTCATTTCAAGGCTTGGCTGGGAACCTGTTTTCAAGGTCACTTGTGTGTCTTTTGGCAAGCCTTGGGTCCTCACTGACTGTTCCCTGGAGATGTCGTTTCTTATGACATGGACTTCTCCATAGAGATGCAGCTGACTTCTTTTAGGTAGAGAGAAAAGCATTAGGTAAACTACCATCTTTTTGTAACCTAATCTCTTGGAAGTGGTATACCATCATTTTTGTTGCCCTCTGTTCATTAGAAGTGTCACTAAATCCAGCTCATACTCAGAGGGAAGTGATTACCAAGGGCATGAATACTAGGAGATGAGCATCACTGCAGACCATCTCAGAGGCTGCCCACCACAGGTAAGGAAAGAGAAAGAGCAAATACACAGTGATATGTTACCAAGTTGGTCACAGCTTTGAGAAAACAATTTAGTGGTAGGTTGGTTTGTTATTGGTTGGTTGGTTGGTGTGTTGGTTGGTAGTTGGTTGTTTGGTCATGGTGCACATCTCCAGAGAGTTTCATGGAACCCAGCATCTTGGAACAGTCTGTGAGGAAAGAAAAGGATGAGGGCACTGCATCAGATGCTTTGGGCTGCTGTGACAAAGTACTACAAACTGGGTATCTTAAAACAACAGGGCTGTATTGTCTCACAACTCTGAAGGCTAGAGTCCAAAATCAAGGAGTCAGCAGGGCCATGTTCCCTCTAAAACCTGTAAGGTAGGATCCTTCCTGTCTCTTGCAGCTTCTGGTAGCTGCCAGCAGCCTTTGGCATCCCTTGGTTACAGATGCATCTCTCAGATCTTCATCTCTTCCTTCTCTGGGTTTCTCTCTTTTATTCTTTCTTTTTTTGGGGGGAGGGTTTCCACATATTTTCTTTTTTCCTTTTTTTTTCCATTTATTTTTATTAGTTGGAGGCTAATTACTTTACAATATTGTAGTGGTTTTTGTCATACATTGACATGAATCAGCCATGGATCCACATGTATTCCCCATCCCGATCCCCACTCCCGCCTCCCTCTCCACCCGATCCCTCTGGGTCTTCCCAGTGCACCAGGCCCAAGCACTTGTCTCATGCATCCAACCTGGGCTGGTGATCTGTTTCACCCTAGATAATATACATGTTTCAATGCTGTTCTCTCGAAACATCTCACCCTCGCCTTCTCCCACAGAGTCCAAAAGTCTGTTCTGCACATCCGTGCCTCTTTTTCTGTTTTGCATATAGGATTATCGTTGTAAGGACACCAGTCAGGCTGAATTAGGCTTTCCTGGTGGCTCAGACTATGAAGACTCTGCCTGCAATGTGGGAGACTCAGGTTCCATCTCTGGATCTGGAGAAGGGAATGGCAACCCACCCAAGTATCCTTGCCTGGAGAATTCCATGCACAGTGGAAACTGGTGGACTACAGTCCATGGGGTCACAGAGAGTCAGACACGACTGAGTGACTAGCACTCACTCACTTATACTGAGTCAGGAGCCCACCCTACTCCAGTGTGACCTCATCTTAATTTCCTCTGCAATGACCTTGATTCACCACACCCCCTCCAGCACACCACCCATGGACATACCTGGAGTACATGCCCTCCTTGGGAGCCTCACAAGGAGGAGGAGTCTCTCTCTGGATAAGGCATGAGGGTTCTGCTCTCTCCCCCTGATGCAGGAAGAACCAAGTAGGGAAGCCTGGAGCAGGGGGCCCAGTTAGGAAGCTGGTGTACCAATATGGGCATGAGTGGTGAGGGAAAGGAGGAATGGACACGGCACTGCCTGGGTGGTCCAGTCAAAGAACGGAGTCAAGGAAGATTCCCAGGGCTGAAGTCATCAAGGGTGGGGAGCCCTGGAAGAAGGTTTACTCATTCGGGAGTGTCTTAGTTTGGGTTCTCCTGAGCCTGAGACATGTATTCAAGCAAAGTAGTTTATTCTGGAGACAGTCCCAGGAAATATTGGCAGGAGACTGGGGAAGTGACCAGGGAGAGGGCTTCAGTGATCATAGTGAGCAGCTGCAGCTTAAATCCCCATCCCCTACAGAGAAATCTGGGGACCAGTAAAAAAACACATCACCTGTGAACCGAGGGTCCTGCTAGGTGTGGGTCAAGTGCTGCTCCTGGTCCATGTCAATTTCCCAGAAATTCCTGCCTGCCCCCAGGAAATGGGCTCTGGCTGCCAGAGAAAGTCATCGGGCAGGAAAGTGGGATGCTTCCAGATGGAAGTAGGGCTGGTGTGTACTGTGAGGGCAGGGATTGAGTTTGGCAGTGTCAGAGACACAATACTAGGGGCAAGAGAGTGGGAGCCACTGTCCCAGGGCTGAAATGCTATAGAATGCCCACACAGTTCCATGAGGCCTGGCTCTTCATCCCATGAGAGAAACAGGCCACTTAGTGGAAATGAACTGATTTCATGAAAAATTCTACAGAGACAGACAGCTGAGAACTGCAACATGAACAAGACAAATGGCCAGGTCCATGATTTTGTGCTTAGACCTATTTCTGTGGGGGTGGGGGTGGGGGAGGATGCATTCTTTTTTTTGCCACAAATCATTCTCAGGAAGGTCAAAGCTGCCCCATAAAGGATGGAGAAGGGAGTGTAAAATCAATGACAAGAGATGAAGAATTCAGGTCCAACACTGTCCTGACTTCAGTAGCTTCAACACTGGAGACCCTGCAAAGCAGGCCCACCCTCTACTGAAGCTCCTTTCAGCTGCAAAGCTGTGGGCTGTGAAGCATGGATCTGTGTCCACCAACATGTCTTTCTGGGTAGGTTATAGTGACAAGCATCCATGGCGATACATAATCTTGCAGCTTCTTTGGAGGACAAGGTTGATCATAGGTAAGTCAGGGAGATTCAGGCCATGGCTGTAGCTCCATGGGGATGTGTTTGAAGGGGCCAGGGTCACAGGTCAGGGAGGGCTGGTTTTAAAGGGCTTCCTTAGACAGTGCAAGTGCCATTTCACTGCCCACAAACGCCAAACACAGGAGGAGCTTGCTGAGATGTCATTACATTGGGTACATCAGACCACCAACTCCCCACCCTCCAGAAGTTACATTTGGCTCTTTGGTTTGTTTTGGAGTCCTTTTTCCTGGACCTTGGCTTGGGTGAAAAGCCTCAAGTCAGAGATGTATCTGTATCATGCACAGACTCTATCACCTGAGCCATGTTTATGGAAGAACTGGACTTACCTGGAAGACTTCTGAAGTGCTGGCTGGGTTTGTAAAGTAGGTGTTCTGGGAGGAATCTGTCTTCATCACCTGAGCAGAGGAGGGAAGTTGACAATAGGTAGTGGCCACAGATGTTGAATTGACTGATGCCATTACGAGGGGACTGTCCATCCCACCAGCAAGCCTAATTCACTGGCCTGGGAAGGGATGGATTGTTCAGTGATTAGGTGTATGGATGCTGGGCCAGCCTGTGTGGGCTTGAATCCTGGCTCTGCCACTTTACCAATTGCAAGACCCTGAGCAAAACAAATCGCCTTTCTGTGCCTCAATTTGTAAAATGAAGGATGATAAGAGTTCTTCCTGCATAGCTGTTGTGAGGGCTAATATGAGTTCATGGAACTGTGCCTGGACTTTAAAAGTCCTTTATAAATGTTAATTATGCTAATTAATCATTACCACCCAGGGTCAAAACATTAGGCAAAGATGACTCTCAGTTTTTTTGTTTTGTTTTCTTTTGAGAATAAATTGGTCCTAAAACCTTATTTTCAAAACTTTAATCTCATTAGATATCTATCACCTCAGATGCAAACTGGGTTAAAATGAGAGATAATACAAAGATCCACCAATTCTGGTTTCCCCTCACTCAAGGAAACATCAGATGAGGACAGCAGGAAAGTCATAAGAGTGCAGTTAAAGGTCCGGAGTTCAGGGAGCGAGTACAGGCTCCCTATTCATGAGGATCCCCGCTCAAATTCTAGCTCTGGAACTTAGCAGCTGTATGCTTTCAGGTAAGATGCTTCCCTTTCTTGGTCTCAGTTTTTTCGTCCATAAAATGGGGACACTCAGAGTCCTGTCCTGCTGAGCTGGTGCCATAAAAGGCATTCTTGGCAAAGGAAACTGCATAGTCTGAAAGCAAGAGCAAGTTCCATCACAAGACGTGGGATGCCTGGAACCCAAGATGCAGGGGGAGGGGCATCCTGAAAGCAGAGGGCAGTGACCCCCTACCAGGACTCCCAGCTGATTAAGGCAGCACAGTAGGGTTCTGGGGCTTGTCTCTTTTCCTGCCTTAGAATAAAAATCCTTCCTCTCTAGGGCAGAGAGGAAGTAAAAATGTGGGACCCCCAGGAAAGGGCACTCTGAAATGCTGGCACTCTTTCAGGTACTTCTAAGTTTGTGGGCTCAGAAAATGAAAAGGCTATTAAACTCGGGGTTTTGAAGTCACCTTTCCAGGATGACATCAGAAATTGAAGGCCTGAACCTGAGGTTGGAGGCAGGAGGGAGAACTCACACTCATCAGGAATGCAAATAAGCCAGCATGCCCCCCTGCCCCCCTAATACACACACACAAACACACACACACACACACACACACACACTGCCCTCGATCTCTGAGAGCCTCTGGAAACAACAAATATACGGAGAGTGCCTCCAGTCACAGAATTCTAGGCAGAAGGAAGGCTATTGTCAAGGGGTAAATACCCTGCGGCAGGAGTACATCAGGGTCCATTCAGCTCCCATGGAGAAACTGTCAGGCTTTCAAAAGTAGTTTCTGGAAAGTGTCTCAAGTGTCTGAGGTGTTTAGGGATATTTCAGAACATGAAAAAAAACCTTAAAGAAAAGTAGTCTCCCTCCCACCAACTGCCTGATCATCAGCTCTTGAAGCCATGTCCCCACCCCACCATTAAATGAACACCTTTGGAACCTGCAAGAAAACACAGGGTTTTGATTTTTTTTTTTTTTTAATGATTGGTTACTTTTTAAAACACTGAGACAAATGAATTTCAAAAGGAAAAAGCTATAATATTGACTTTATTTCATCATGGAAAATTTGTGTCCAAAGACAAGAACCATCTTATATAAAACAACCAAATAAATAAATAAATAAAAATAAATAGGAGTTGCTTCCAAGGGGATCAGGGGTTGATGGAGAATCAGATGCAGCCATATCTGCAGCCAGGACCTCCTCTTAGTACCTCCTCAGCACTGTGGGGGAAAAGAGAGGATGATGATGACTTTGGGGTGGGAGACAGGCAGGATCTGAGCTTTCCCTCACCCTGTGCCACCTGTGCCACTCCCCTCTTCAGTTCATCTGCATGTTTGGGGCTTTGGAATAACCCGTCTCTCTTTGGAATTACCATCCCCCTGGGGACCCTCCCCTCTGCCTTCACAGCTTTAGACAGTTCAGGGGAAACCAGGAGGGAAAATGTTAAGTACTCCTTCTGCTCCAAGGAAGGCCTGCTGAACAGTGACTGAATTACATCCTAAGGTGATTCTGCCCCTTTCAGTCAGAGGCAGGAGGTGGATAGAAGGGGCTCCCAGACATGATAATGAATGTTGTCCAAATTTAATATTTCCAGAAAGGCATGCCTTGGCCCTGAGGACTGCCAGCAAATAAGAGTGATGTTCTTTGTTCAAAATTTGGTCCCCTGAGACATCGGACCCAGAAGTGGCTCTAATGGTGATGTGCAGTGGGAATGGGGGGAGGTGCTCACCGTTGCAGCCCAGGCCGCTGAGGGAGCCGATCCGGTCCAGCCTCCGTCCAAAGCAGCCAGAGTCGCGCATCATCTTGGGGCCCCTCAGGGCCCGGAGGATGCTGTGATGGGGCCGGAGGAACCCCGCGGGGGCTGCCGCCGGGGAATCCCAGGTTTCTTCCAGGCCCTGGCCCTGCTGGAGGGGCCCCACGCCCAGCTGCTCCGCCTGCAGCTCCGAGACCCTGTCTCGTAGACGGTCCAGCAGCTCCTGCAATGCACGGTGGGGGAGCCGGAGCTTCAGAAACCTGCACCTGGGCCCAGCCGCCGTCGACGGTGCCAAAGCGATCCAACCGCGCTGGGTACCGGCTTCCCGCACCCAATCTCGCCGTTTTCTGATTCCCTTTCTGATTCACGTATCACCAATTCCCAAGGGAGAGTGGGGACCTCTTGGGATGTAGGTGCGGGGTGGGTGGGGACCCGTTAATTGCTGCTGTCCGCGCCCTCCCGGCGAACCGGGTTTACGCAGTTCGGCAGCGCTCACCTGTAACCCAGGCAGTTCCGAGGCCGGGCCGGGGCCACCCAGCGGGTGGGAACGACATCCTAGCAGCGACAGGTGCAAGAAGAGGATAAGCAGGAGCGCCCGGGACAGCGCCGTCTGGGGGTCCATGTCTCTGGCGGAGCGGATAGAGGTTGCGGCCGCGGCTGCTTCGCTGGGTTGCGCTTGACGTCTCACCTTCTGGTGCCCGGTGGGCGCTCTCCCGGATCCTTGGGCAACAGCGGCCTTTTTATCCCTGGTCCTAGGAGCCGGGCCGGCCCTGCCTCTCTGGGTTATCTCTGATTTATCGGCCGCATTCCGGCCCGACTCGCTGAGCTCAGGGCGGGGGAATGTACCTCTCCGCGCTGAGGGGGTGGAGGCCGGGGAGAGCAGGCCTTGTATAGAAATGGGCCTGACCGGGAGCTGGAACGCGCCCGGGGTGGGGGGGTGGGGGTTGGAGCCCGGCAGCACCTGGACAATAGGTCCTTCGTCTCTCTCTTTTTCCTTTCCTGCCAAAACGCCGGGGTCATTAGCGTGGATGTTTTTTTTCTTTCCTCCCCACCCCCATTCCTGGATTGAGCAGACAGAACCCCAGCGATCAGAGACCCGACGCAAATGCCGGGCGCACGAGGTGACTCACAAAGAACAGCCCCAGCCAACACCCCATCACTGCAGCGCGTCTTCCCTCCCCGCCTGGAACTCGGCACCCCGCCTGGAAGCGTGCAAGCCTGCAACTCTGCCCCGCGCCAGACCGCCGGTCCCTCGGGCGCGCTGACCGCTGTCCGTGGTTCTGATCACACTGAGCCACCAACGCAAGAGTTCTTGCTCACCTCAACTCCGGTCTTGCCAGAAAGACAAGCATGGGGCAGGGGCCAAGAGACTCCTGAGACCCCCCTCCCCGCCCTCTCACGACCTCCTGCACTAGGATGCTAATTCTCTAGTGTCACCTGATTAAAAGTCTGGGTATGACAAAGAACTTCTGGAATGCTGACCCTTCTTCCGTCCCTTAAAGGGTAGAGCTGATTTGACAGGAATTTTGAGAGGCAAAGCCCAGAGATGAAGTCATCCAGGAATGCCTTCTATCACATCTCCTCCAGGTGCCAACACCCCCCCCCCCCCCCCCCCACAAGTCAACATAACGGAAAAAGCAAGGATGACTGCAAGATGGTTATCTATTTAGTGGGACACTAGGGGTGTGAAGGCGTGTCTTCTGCAGTGCCTCCTTCAACTGGTCATCCAGGATCTCATTCCCATTTGCAGATCTGGTCTGCAATTTGCAGGTCTGGACCTCCTGCCTGTGATTGCAAAAAGGGCTCCAAGGGGGAAATGGCCCTGGGAAGAGACACAGCAGATTAAATCCCTCCTAAATTGTACATGACTGATGTCACTGCCCCTTCCAGATAACTTGTGTTGGCAAGCATCAGGATGAGGGAGAAGGGTTGTTCAAGAAAGGAAATGTGTTATGACAGGAGTAGAGAAAGGGGCAGAAACTGGGACCACTAAGCAAATCTTGCCTGAAAAATAGCACCTGCCAGGTATTGAGTGAGAAAAATTATTATCATTGTTCTTCACTTTTTTGGATAAGGAAACTAAGCTCAGAAAAATTAACGTACTTTTTTTTTCTTTTTTACAGCAAAATTGATTTTTTACTTTAATCAAGGTACAGTTGATTTACTTAGTTTCAGGTGTATAACATAGTGATTCAATATTTTTATAGATTATACTCCATTTAAAGTTATAAAATATTAGCTATATTCCATATACCATATATTACATCCTTGTATCTTATCATTTTATACCTAGTAATATACCTCTTAATACACTACTCCTATTTTGCACCTACCCCATCCCACTCCCTAATTGGAGCCACTAGTTTGTTCTCTGTACCTCTAGATCTATTTCTATTTTGCTATATCATTCATTTGTTTTATTTTTTTAGATTCTACATAGGAGTGAAAACATACAGTATTTGTCTTTCCTGGTTGTACCAGTTTACATTCCCACTGACAGTGCATCAAATTTCCCTTTTCTCCACATTCTCGCCAACATTTTTTATTTGTGGTCTTTTTGATGATAGCCATTCTGACAGTTGTGAGGTGATATCTTATTGTGGTCTTGATTTGCATTTCTCCAGTGACTAATGATGTTGGGCATCTTTTCATGTGCCTCTTGGCCATCTGTATGCTTTCTCTGGGAAAACATTAAATCAGATCTTCTCACCATTTTTTCATCAGGTTTTTAAAATATTGACTTGTATGTACTGTTTGTTTTGGTTAGGAAACTCTTATCAGAACATCTTTTGCAAATATTTTCTCCCATTCAATAGGTTGTCTTAATCTATTTTCTTAAGATCACACAATTGACAAGTGCTAAAACCTGGATTCTAACCTAGGCAGTCTGATTTTTAGACCTGAAGCTCTTAATCACAGCCAGGGTGATTGTTAGGTGTTTCTACTAAAGCAAAAGTAGATTACCCTATGGTCATTTCTAAAGTTACAGAAAGCTGTGCAGTGAGGTATGTGTAAGTTTGGTCCCTGACACAAGGAGAAGGAGGTCAAGCAGAGGCAACTCCAGCATTTTACAGATGAAGATGGGGGAGAGGTAAGGGCTGTGTTAAGATGTCAGTCCTGGAAAGACAGATTCTGGGAGCTGAAACAAGGTGTGTGTGTGTGTGTGTGTGTGTGTGCACATGCACACGTGTACACTATGGGAAGAATATCCAAAAATTAAATGGCAGAGAGAGACAACAAAAGATAGCCAAGAGCAGAGCTGAGACTTAAAGCTGGGGCTACTAAGGGTGTAGAGAATCCCTAGAGCTGGAAGTCATGAGATTAAGGGTTGGGAGCAAGATAGAGTCCATCAACCAATACCTTTCAAGAACTAATTCTGTATCTATCCTGAGCCTTGCTTTGCTCTTCTGCAAAATGGACATATGCTCCCTCCTTTCACGGACTAAAAGGGAGAAAAAAGTGTCATTGAAAGTCAATAGCAGTGTGAAAAGAGCCAAAGAATTCAGAAGACATATGAGAGTTCACCTTTGCTTCAAAGGAAATTCTGTCTCAATGGGGAGACAGAGCCATTCCAGGGGGAAATGATAAAGTGCTGAGCACTTTGACCAAGCCCCTATCTTCTCCCCGTGGAGGGGACTGTGGGAGAAGACTTTAGGGCAGACACAAAACTGAATACATGCTCCAGGGACTTCTGCACAGGGAAGGACAGCTCTTACACCAGATCATTTCCATCAACATTTATTGAATGCCTACTCTGTGCCATGTACTTTTCTACTTCTATTTAATGGAGCTATGTTGTAGCACTACCACCCAAGAATTAAATGAAATGGATATGTGGTAAGCTGAATAAGAGCCTCCCTAAGATATACATATCCAGATTCTCCAATCCCTATGCCTTTGAGGAGCATACAGTGTAGGGAGAGAAACAGACAGTCACAGGCCCCCAGGACAAGGTGGTGACTGATCCAACAATGAGACCTGGGTGCTCTGGGAGCGTGGCAGTAACACTCAGTTGAGGAGACAGCTTCCTGGAGAAGGTGGTTCTCGGCTAATGCTTGAAGAATAAGAATGGGTCAGCCATGAGAGAGGAGATGAGGAGGGTTCCAGGCAGAACCGGGGGGCTAGTTAAGTGTTCAACTACCTCTCCTACCATCTTAGTCCACTCAGGCTGCTGTATGAACTAAGAATACCATAGATTGGGTGGATTAACCAACAGAAATTTATTTCTCTTAGTTCCGGAGACTGGGAAATACAAGAATCAAGGTGCAGGCAGATTCGGTGTCTGGCGAGAGCCCATAAGTTGTCTCCATTGAAATCCCACATGACAGAAGGGGTGAAAGAGATATATGGGGTTTCTTTTAAAGATTTTTTGATGTGGACCATTTTTAAAGTCTTTAATGAGTTTGTTACAATATTGCTTTTACTGTAAGTTTCAGTTTTTGACAGAGAGACATTTGGGATCCTAGATCCCGACCAGGAATTGAACCCACACCCCCTGCATTGAAAGGCAAAGTCCCAACCACTGGGCCACCAGGAAAGTCCCAGCAGGGTCTTTTTTATAGATCCCATTCACGAGGGCTCCACCCTCATGTCTTTTTTTTTTAATTAATTTTTTCCATTTATTTTTATTAGTTGGAGGCTAATTACTTTACAATATTGTAGTGGTTTTTGTCATACATTGACATGAATCAGCCATGGATTTACATGTGTTCCCTATCCTGAACCCCCCTCACACCTCCCTCCCCACCCCATCCCTCTGGGTCATTCCAGTGCACCAGCCCCGAGCACTTGTCTCATGCATCCAACCTGGACTGGCGATCTATTAGTTTAATATCTGTCTCCTTTAGTCTCTTTCTCTTTGAGAGCAGGAACCATTTATTGCCATTTCCCTGTATATACCCAGTGCCTAGCACAGTAGACTCAATAGTAGATGCTCAATAACTAGTTGAGTAAATGAATGAAAGCATAAAAGGTAACTAAGAAAAATGTTTCCTTCATGGAGTAATGACTCCATCGTGTGGAATTTTAGAATATTGTCTAAAAAATTTTTTTTTAACAAGATAGGTTTCATAGAACTGATTCTCCTATTTCCCAGGCTTGTATTAGAGGCTTTGCTGTTGTTTAACTGGTCCTTTTGGGATTTTTAGAGCTATAGGAAAGCATCGTCTCTTCAGGGCAGGCCTAACTAGATTTGCTTGGTGAAACGAATTGTGCAATTAGGTGAATAGCAGGTATCAGCTTAAGTCCAGAACTCGCTTGATTCTACTTTACCAAAAGGTAAAGCATCGATCCACTAATAAGCTCTTGGTTCCGAATGATCACTCTGGCACATCCAGAGCCCCTTCCATGCAGCGTTCTACTATCTAAGAAGCCTACCCGTGGCAGTACCGAACTCGCCATCATATATTCCTTACAGTGTATAATGACTAAAGTAGAAATTGTGTACAGAAATAGCCTCTGCCCTACAATCATACACCAGGAGAGAGTAAATTGCACTCCATTCTAAATCCTAAAATTTACTGGTATNGTTTTTTGTATTTCCATACAAATTGTGAAATTATTTGTTCTAGTTCTGTGAAAAATACCGTTGGTAGCTTGATAGGGATTGCATTGAATCTATAGATTGCTTTGTCCACCCTC